GGGCTGTCTTCGGGGCCCCTGGGGCCGTCGTGGGGCTTCATGGGCCGTCTTGGGGCCCGCCTGGGGGCTTCATGGGCATCTTGTGCCGATCTTGGACGCGTCTTGGGCCAGGGGGCTCTTCCGAAAGTTCGGGGAGCCATGGAGGGGCCTCCGAATGCTCTGGGACATGTCCAACTGACGGTACGCGCTTGGCATGGCACGTCACGCTGGCCTTCGGAGCGAGAGTATCGTCCCCCTGGCGGGACTGCTCCGTAGCTCTGGATAGCGGATGGGCCGGGACCCTCCTCCCTCCTCCCTCCCTCCTCGCTCCCTCCTTCCTCCTCCTTCCTCCCTCCTCCCTCCTCCCTCCTCCCTCCTCCCCCTCCCTCCCTCCTCCCTCCCTCCCCTCCCCTCCCCTCCCCCTCCCCCTCCCCTCCCCCCCCCTCCCCCTCCCCTCCCCCTCCCCTCCCCGCCTCCTCCTCCTCCTCCTCCTCCTCCTCCTCCCTCGGAGCAGGAAGGTTCCGACCCTGGCAAGCGGCAGCAAAGTTGTTCCCGAGTATGTCACGTGCCTCTCTCGGAGGCCAGGGCACGCACAACACTTTTTCCTCCAGGATCCACACTCTAAGGCCGCACAGCACCGGACTGGCAACGTCCCGACAGAAACAAGGCGGACGTGGCTTCATTCGGGTCTCGCGGATGAGGAGGAGGAAGCGGAGGAGGAAGAGGAGGAGGAGGAGGAGGAGGAGGAGTGCGGGTGCCCTGGGGGAGGAAGGATCTTGAAGAGGAGGAGGAGGGAGCAGGAGGGGAGGAGGGAGGTTTTCTTCTTCTCCTGCCGGAGGAATCGTTTCTAGGGAGGAGGAGGGAGGAGGAGGAGGAGGAGGAAGAGGAAGAGCAGGAGGAAGAGGACGGAGCACGGAAGAAAGAATGCGGCCGCTTCTGGGCCCCGGGACCACCAGCAGAAAAACTGACTGGGGCACCAGCGGCCCCGTGGACCCGGCCCTGACTCTCTCTGGGGGGCCCCCCATGCGGCCCTCCGGGGCGCGAGGCACGCGCCCCCACGAGGCCTCTCTGACGCCTGTCGGGCCAGGCGAAAAGGGGGGATAGCAAGGGGGGGGGGGAGAGTCAGCTCGCGTAGCTGATTTTCCCGGTGCCTCCCGGCGCCGGAGGCGGCTATGCATCGAGGAATGGGCTCGGCGGCGGGGCCGAAACCGGCTGCGTGCAGCAGATTTCGTAACCCCCCCTTTCCCAACCCCCCCCCTTTCATCTGGCCCGAGCCTGGGTCCAGGAAAGCCTCAGGGTCCGAGGAGGTCCGTTTCCTCGGGTGCGCGGATGAGGGAGACCAGTAGAAAGGGGGGTTCGCGGTCAGGTCGGTTCAAAAATACTCAAAAGTCGCCCCCTATTCAAATACTCAAAAATACTCAAATGTTCAAAATACTCATACATGCTCATAAATGTTTAAAAATACTATTAAAAAAGTTGGACTAGTCTTGCATAATCCGCCTGTAGAGGGGCAAACCCGACGTACGTTTAGCGCAGCACGGCCCGATGCACATGCGCAGACCACGGGAGCCAGGAACGCGTCGAGAGCAGAAGAGGGGGCGGCGAAGTCTGAGAGACTTCACGAAGGGGCCCTGGGACACACTAATAAATACATACAAACAAAAAAGATTCCCTATAGTTTTCCCATATTTTCTGGTTTTTGGGATTTCCCCCCACTTCCCATATTTTCCCATATTTTCCCGGGGGTCGACGATTAACTGTGTCTGTGTGTTTTTTCCCTCCTGACTTCACTGCACCAGCCATGATATCCACACACCCCTGGTCCTCACCCCCTCTTCGACAACCCCGATCTCCCTCTGCACCCGTTTGCCCCACGGCAAGGCCCTCGCACCGAGAACTCTGGCGACTCCCACAGCAGTCAGGAAAACGCGGCTGGGAGCGGGTGGGGAGAGGGAGCAGTCACACGTGAACCCTACCCCTGCAGGCCAGATATCTCGAAGCTGGACATCAATCGAGAACCGACGAAAACGTCCAGAAATCGCAGTCCTCGAACCCGAAACTTCCCCCCCTCCTGAGCCTGCAAAACCGCCTCGAAACCTGAGCCGAAAACCCCGACGGGGGGCTCCAGTACCCGTCAGTCGGAAGAAGAAGAAGAAGAAGAAGAAGAAGGAGAAGAAGAAGGAGAAGAAGAAGGAGAAGAAGAAGAAGAAGAAGAGGAAGAAGAGGAAGAAGGAGGAGAAGAAGAAGAAGAAGAAGAGGAAGAAGAAGAAGAAGAAAGGATCATGAAGCAGGAAGGCGTTGGAAGCAGACTGGGCTCCCGCCCTCCCCCTGAGGAGGTGGGAAGAGGGAACGCCGCTCCACTCTTGAAGCAGGGAGGCCCCGGAAGTAGCCTGGGACCCGGGCATCCAGAAATGCCCGCCTCCGGCGACTGGCGAGCACCCCGCGCTTCTCGCGGACCCGGCCACCGCGCCCGCCCCCGGGGCCCCAGACCTCCGACGCACCGTGCCCGCGCGCCCCCGTCCCCGCCACGGCTCAGTCCCCGGTGCCTGGCGAGACGGCACGTGCAGGCCGCCGCATTGCCACTCGAGGCGGACCGGGGCCACGACCTCTGCGCGCTCACGCCGCCCCCCCCCCGGGGCACAGGAGGAGGCACTCGACTCGCGCCTCGCTCCAAGATCGCCCAGGCCGCGAGGCGCGGAGCGCGGCTAACTTCGCACCCTCGTGGTGGCCCCGGCCAACGCTCAGCCAGGGCCGATCCGCTTTTTCTACCGCGCGCCCCGAGCTGTGCGGACGCGCGAGGAACCGCGCTGACTCGCCGCGCGGCTACTGGCTCGCGCGCTGGCCAAACACACCCCCGCCTTGGGGGGGGGGCGGGGCACACGCTCCGCCCCTTCCAGCGCAAACAACAGCGCATTCTGCTGGCCAGCGCGGCCCCCTGGAGCTCTGCCGATGGCCTCCTCCCCGGAGGAAGCCGGCACCAACAGAAAACTCGTGGGCGCCCAGCGCCGATCCAGGAAATCCGCGCGGAGCTAGACTGCTGCCTGGGCACCCTGCAGGGCCTGCAACTTGGCCGTGTACTACTGGCCGGGCACCCTGCAGCCCTCCTGGCCAGGCACCCTGCAGCCCCGCCGCCTCTCCGCTGGCCCCGCGGCCGCTGGCCGGCGCGGCCATACGCAGCTCCGGCGGCTCCCCGATTCCGATTGGCTTCTACAAAGGGGCGCCCAGGAGGGCCCTACCCAGAGAGCCGACGCTCCGAACAACTGGAACGGCCGGCTTTGTCGGCCTCCAGGGACCCTCGCCGGGCATCGGGAGCGTCAAAAAACGGCCCAGGACAAGAAACCAGCCCCAGGGAAGTGGTCCAGACCTCGCGGGCCCACGCATCGAAAAATTGGAGCGGCTGAATGTCTGAGGCCTCCCGAGGACCCCAGAGCATCCATAAAGAATTCCAAGAAGATGTACCCAAGAGGGGATTGCTCAGGCTCGAAAAGGGCGACGCTGATTCGGGGCCCACCTCTTTGTAGGCTTCGAATGAGCCCCGAGGGGCCCCCAACGGCTCCCAGTGGGCCTCAAGAGAGCCCCAGGATGGCTCAGGCAGCCTCCCATCTGCATCTGCATGCCGCCAAGAGGCACCCAGATGTCTGCACGTTCTCGGTGCTTGAGAGCTGCTCGGACTGGCCCTTGCCCCCGTCCAGTGGGTCACCCTCTCTCCCTGTTTCGCCATGCGTGTGCTCATCCACGCCCCTGCTCACGACAACCCGCCCAGGAACCAGACCTGGTACAGTGGAGGCCCGACCACAAGAAACCCAACCCTGAGACCCCAGGACGTCCCATCGATTATTGGCATTGGCACGCCACGCTTCCCATAGCAAAACCATCGAAGCCCAAGAAACCCAGGGCACCCTGGATGGAGGCAAGCAGGGTGGTTCTTGGCATGGGCCCCCACTGTGCGTGTGCCCATCCACGCCCCTGCTCACGACAGCCCGCCCAGGAACCAGACCCGGTGGACGGGGAAACGCGAAGAGGCAGCGGTTGGCACAGCCCCAGCACGGCCTTCCCGAGCGTGGGTCGAGAGCACGAGAGCCCCCTCGGCCAGAGGCCGACGACCCCCCCCCCTGGGAAGCACCAAGACAGGACTGGCTCAACGGGAGGACTCGGATCCAGCACAAGGGGCCCGCGCTGGGGCGCAAGCGCCAGGCTCGACGACCACGGGACGCACAGAAACATACTGATAGTGTATGTCCTCCTCGGAGGCGCGCGTCCGACCCGAACATTGTCGTATACCCACCTTGTAGCACATCGCTACCCGAGCTGTGTGGCCAAAAAACGCCCGCCAGGGCACATCTGCTTTCAGATTTCTAGGGGGCCACATGCGAACCCTACCCCTACCCCCACGATTTCTGAAGGGGAAGGGTGGGGTTCACTTCGTTCGGGAGCTCCAGAGCGAAGTGAACCCCACCCTCCCCCTCAGAAGTCGTGGGGGGTAGGGGTAGGGTTCGCATGTGGCCCCCTAATTTCTCGGTGCGCGCGTCGACCCTGGAGGGGCGACGCACATATAGTACAAGTATGTTGGGTTGACGCCGAGGGCAGAGGCCCGATGCTAAAAGAAAAGGCAGCCCCCGGCTGCAGCGGGAGCACCAGCCTGGAAGAGCCAGTAACGCTCGGAATCAGAGAACCACATGGTACAACAAGCAGCTCGGACCCATCCCGTGCGTGAACAGAAGCACGCGGAGGTAGAGAGACTCAACATGATGAATATTAAGGGCACGCCTCCAGAAGAAGGGTCGCGATTGGCCCTCGTGCCAGCTGTGGTGGTCCGCCGCGGCATGCGACTGGAGCGACGAAAAGAGAAGGGTCTGATGCACGATGAGATAGCGACCTTACGCAGTGGCTGACGCGGGCCGCCAGCGCGGCACGCTACGTTGAAAACGAGGGCGCTTACGCGCTATCTCACCCAAGCAGCTTACGCGCGAATGTCGGCACAATCGATCCCGTGTTCTTCCGTCGTTCACTTGGTCTCGCCTTCATTGTGTCTCCCTCGAGAGCGGGGTCAGCTTCCACCAGCCCGCCAACCATACTAATCCGGCAACCAGCACCGCCACCCAGCAGATCTGAAGTCCGCTCTGGAGACCACCGTCCTTATCGGAGATGAGCCCGATGATCGGAGGGCTGACCACGTCGCCCAAGGCGTGAGTGAGGAAGATCTGCAGGCCGCACGCCTGCGCTCTCAACGGTTTCTCCACCGCGGCCAGCGTGACACATGTCGTCGGCACCGAGTAGGTCCAGATCAACGTCTGGGCTGCGAAGAACATGGCATACCCGAGCAATTTGTCGCCTGCGTGGTTTACGCACACAAGTGCGCAGAATGATCCCGAGATTGCGAAAAGGGCTGGCACTAGGAGGAAAGCGTTATGGCACCTGTCGGCATAGTGATTCGCGGCCACCTTTCCCAAAGCGCTGCCGCTAATGCCACCGAAAACCGTGATGCCCCCGATGACGAGGCCCGCCTCGACCTGGCTGCTGTGCTGATACCGGATGAAGAAGGACTCGATGAAGTCTGCAAAGCCCCCGAGCGCAAAGCATATGCAGACGAGACCCGCAGTGACAACCATGAAAGTGCTGTTCGTCAGGATGTCTCGGAAGTCGTTTACAGTCTTTTGCAGTGGCCCACTCGTTGGCCTGGACAGGCTTCTGTGCAGAATCACCGAGGGGGTACAAGGGGCAGGAAAGTCGGCGGGATCCTTGACCCAGAGTACGATCAGAGCCATGACCGAGCCAGGGAGACCACAGATGAGAAACGCATTGCGCCAGCCGAAAGACGAGCTGGTAACAGAACCGAGTGCAAAGCCGAGAGCTCCACCAAGTGGAACGGCCAGGGAGTAGATCAGGAACACCCGGGGCCGGTCTCTCTCAGGGAATATATCAGCAAGCATTGGCACCGATATTGTTCCATACGCGGCCTCGCCGACGCCAACCAGCGAACGCATGACGATGAGCTGAGGCAAATTCTGCGCGAAGCCCGCAAGTCCAGTGGCCACGGACCACACGAGGATTCCGATTGCCAGCACACGCTTCCGTTTGACAATCCTCTGGTCCGCCAACCATCCGAACAGAACGGCTGACACCATAAACACGAAGGTCATGGCTGTCGCTGGCAGGGCGGTCTGGTAATCATCTAGGCCGAAGTCACTCTTGATATCTTCTTTCACGGCGCTTACGATGTAACGGTCCATGAAACTGAACATAAGAATCGCTGACATCGTCCACTTCGCGAATGCGGCGTCCCAAGCGTCCACAGCCGTCGCTGCAGCTGGGTGTGCAACCCTGGACTCTTCGTCTTCCCTGGGCCCTCGACGTACGCCTTCTACGAGCAGAGGACTCTTCATGCTCTCTGGGCACAACAGTGGACTCTCTGCCAGCATTCCGCTGTACTGGGCTGCAGCTGCAGAGCCGTACTTGTGGGACCCCTGGCCGTGGCAATAGACGATCCAGATTTGGCTACGGGACCACTCCTTCCCCCTGCGGCCCCGAATCCCCGTGGATTGAGCTCGTCGGATGCCTACATATTGGCTGAGATCGCACGAACTTCGCCGGCCCAACGGGCCAGAGGCGTGCAACAGTTTCGGGTAAGAGGATCTGAATGGTTCTAAGTCGCGCATGCGTGTCCCCAGACGAAAAATACCCCGGCAAGATCCCGGCAAGGTCCAGGCAAGTTCCTGGCAGGCCTCACAGATGCCAGAACTCCTGGGCAGCCCATGGGGGCCTCCAGAACACCCCAGGAGCGCCCACAGGAGGCGCCAAATAGGTGGCAGGCCCGACGGCCTCAGGCCAAGAGCATTCCAAGATTGCCCAAGTTGGTCTCAAAACGGCCCAAAGGCGACCAAGACTCCGGGCTCCGAGAGGACCCCAGAGAGACCGAAGAGGTAAAGTCCATTGATTTTGCTTGGGTTGCTGACAGATTTGGCGTTGACGCCTTTTCAAGCTTCCGACCGCCGAGGACGGCCCAAGAGGCCTGCTAGTTCGCCCCAAGTGAGCCCAAGAGGCTCCCAGGACGGCCCCAAGACAGCCCAAGAGGGCCCCAAGACTGCCCAAGAGGCCTCCCCAGAGGGCTCCGAAGCTCCCATGAGGACCCTAAGAGGGGAACCCGAACATACAAACCGAGCCTTCCCCGAAAGTTAGCCCCCGAGACCAACAACAGGCCCTAAGAAGCCCTCAAGAAGCTCCAAGAAGCCCACAAGGATGCACCAAGGGCCCCCCAAGAGGCCCCAGGAAGTCCCAGAAATGCCGCCAAGAAGCCTCCGAGAGGCCTCCTAACAGACCCTAAGAAGCCTTCCAAAGAGGCGTCTTGTCCGCGAACCAGTTTGATCGCAACAGTGCCTCAAGAACCTGTCGAGAGGCATCCTCCTCCCCCTCCCTCTCCCCCTCCTCCTCCTCCTTCTCCTCCTCCTCCTCCTCCTCCTTCGAGTCCCCTATCCTCCTTCTCGCCCGCCATGGGCACACCAACACGTAGCAACAGTGGTGCAATATGGACTGGCGGAATGAGCGAAGCGACAAAATGAAAATATAAATGAAAGATAACAGTACCAGAAAATAACGGGGCCTAGAAATCGGCCCTCTGGCAGAAGTTAGGCAAAACCAAGTTTCCGGATAAATCCACAAGCGAATCAGTATACAGCTATCCTGACGAAAGAACCCAAAATAATGCGCAATTGTGAATTACGCGCTGTGGGTGCCGCTTTCGGTGGAGCTCCCTATGGGGCCACGAAACGCGTGAGGGACGTGCCGTAATGGGTGGTGGCCGACGCATGCGGGCGGTGCCACTGGCGCCTTCGGTGGGGCTCCCTATGGGCCGCGAAACGCTGTACTGGGTGTGGCTGACGCAGGGAAGCGGTGCCCCTCGCGGGAGCTCCTGAGGAGTCCACGAAACGCTGTGCTGGGTGGTGGCCGACGCATGCGGGCGGTGCCGCCGGGGTCTCTCTGTGGAGCTCCCTACGGGGCCACGAAGCGCTGTACTGGGCGGTGGCCGAAGCATGCGGGCGGTGCCACTGGCGCCTTCGGTGGAGCTCCCTACGGGGCCACGACCCTCGCGAGGGGTGTGCAGAAATGGCCCGAGGCCGCCATGCGAACCCTGCCACTAGCACCTTCGATGGAGCTCCCCATGGGGCCACGATCCTCGCGAGGGGTGTGCCGAGATGGCCCGAGGCCGCCATGCGAACCCTGCCACTGGCGCCTTCGGTGGAGATCCTATGGGGCCACGATCCTCGTGAGGGGTGTGCCGAAATGGCCCGAGGCCGCCATGTGAACCCTGCCACTGGCGCCTTCGGTGGAGCTCCCCCCCAGGGGCCACGATCCTCGTGAGCGGTGTGCCGAAATGGCCCGAGGCCGCCATGCGAACCCTGCCACTGGCGCCTTCGGTGGAGCTCCCCATGGCCCGAGGCCGCCATGCGAACCCTGCCACTGGCGCCTTCGGTGGAGCTCCCCTGGGGCCACGATCCTTGTGAGGGGTGTGCCGAAATGGCCCGAGGCCGCCATGCGAACCTTGCCTCTGGCGCCTTCGGTGGAGCTCCCTACGGGGCCACAATCCTCGTGAGGGGTGTGCCGAGATGGCCCCAGGCCGCCATGCGAACCCTGCCACTGGCGCCTTCGGTGGAGATCCTATGGGGCCACGATCCTCGCGAGGGATGTGCAGAAATGGCCCGAGGCCACCATGCGAACCCTGCCACTGGCGCCTCGGTGGAGCTCCTATGGGGCCACGATCCTCGTGAGGGGTGTGCAGAAATGGCACGAGGCCGCCATGCGAACCTTGCCACTAGCACCTTCGATGGAGCTCCCCATGGGGCCACGATCCTCGTGAGGGGTGTGCCGAGATGGCCCGAGGCCGCCATGCGAACCCTGCCACTGGCGCCTTCGGTAGAGCTCCCCAGAGGCCACGATCCTCGTGAGGGGTGTGCCGAAATGGCCCGAGGCCGCCAATCGAAGCCTGCCACTGGCGCCTTCGGTGGAGCTCCCCTGGGGCCACGATCCTCGTGAGGGGTGTGCCGAAATGGCCCGAGGCCGCCATGCGAACCCTGCCACTTGGGCCTTCGGTGGAGCTCCTATGGGGCCACGATCCTCGTGAGGGGTGTGCCGAAATGGCCCGAGGCCGCCATGCGAACCTTGGCACTGGCGCATTCGGTGAAGCTCATATTGGGTCACGAAACGCTGCACTGGGTGGGCGAAAGGCAGGGATGAAGGAGGAGGGGGAGGAGGGAGAAGGAGGAGGAGGGAGGAAGGAGGCGGGAGGAGGAGAACGCGGGGCGTCGTCTCTTCAAAACGAGGACCCAACACCACAGGATGGTTGGGGAAAAAGAGTTCCCTTGAAGTGCCGCAAGGTGCTGGCGCAGAAACAAATACGAACAATCACAGGGAGTGCAAAATGTCCAAGACGTAAGGAAAATGCAGGGAGAACATGATGTAGATTGCTGCCTATATGGAATAACGTTTCTAGGTCCCGCTAGAACCGTGGATATGTAAATCATCCGAAGAGCTCAACCAATGGCTCCTCTAGAATATCTGAACGCACTGACCACTTCCAGCCCCTCTCAGACCCTCCCAAATTCCCTACCGAACCTCCCCACCTTCCGACAAGGCCCCCGATGACAACGACTCGCACCTCCACCCCCGCCCACCTCACGCCCGATCCCCAGTCCACGACGCACCAGATTTGCACACGCCCGCGCGCAGTATACTTTCATCGACCACACAGGACGCGCAGCAGGCAGACGAATCGCAGCGCCAGCGCTGAGGTGTGCATTAAAGACGCCGTGGCACCGATCCCAATCAGTCATGCGATGCAGCGGGGGGCCTGCGAGAGGGCGAACACAACGGAGGCGGCGCAGGGAACGTACGCACGCATTCGAGCGCGCACACGTCAATTTTTCTGCGAGGCGCCTACGACACCAATTGGCGGAGATCGGCCCCCTTTCCGCGCCAGGGGGGGGGGGCGGGGGGAGGTTGCGGAGGAGGGGAGGGGGGAAGCCGAGGGGGGAAGGCAAGTTAGGCGCGCTCGCGTCGTACCTGACGTCCTGCCCCTGCTTCCCATCCCTTGCCATGGCGTAGGTCTCCTCTGTTTTCGCACAGTCGGATGTCGTAGCATGGTACAGCATTACATGGCATAGCATGGTGCTGAAGATCAACGCGTAGCATGACATAGCATGGCGTGACGACGCCCCAAAGTGGAGGGGGTGCTTCTGCGGCTTCTGCGCCCAAGAAATTAACGAATCGACACCGAATCTGGAGTCAATTACGATGGTTTATCCGGGGGGGCATTTTCTAGATTGTGGGGCCTATTTGGAAGGACCGAAAACCATGCCGTGGCATGGCACTTGAAATAATGACGCCAGCGCTGAAGCGGGAGCACGATTCGCAACGAGCGGAAGCGCGGAAATGAGGCCAGCGCTGCAGCGGGAGCACGATTCGGAACGAGCGGAAGCGCGGAAATGATGCCAGCGCCGCAGCGGGAGCACGATTCGGAACGAGCGGAAGCGCGGAAATGAGGCCAGCGCTGCAGCGGGAGCACGATTCGGAACGAGCGGAAGCCCGAAAATGACGCCAGCGCCGCAGCGGAAGCATGATTCGGAACGAGCGGAAGCCCGAAAATGAGGCCAGGGCTTCAGCGGGAGCAACATTTTGAAAAAAAACCAAGCGAAAACCCAACTCCCGGAAATCCTGTACAAAAACAATACGCGGAGGTGGGCTGGACATCTTCCGGACGTCATCAGGGGAGATAGGAGAGTAGTATTCGTATTATGTGTTTGTGAAGGGGAGGGGGGGCAAAGAAGAAAGCGCAAGGGAAGAATGAGGAGGGGATGGGAGGAGAGGGGGGAGGTAATGGCAATGAGAGAGGGCAACGGGAGGAAGGGGAGGGGAGAGGGGGGGAGGAGGGAAGTAAAGAGGAAAGGTAAGGAGTGGGGGGAAGGGATGAAGGGAAGGGAAGGAGGAAGGAAGAGGAAGGCGGAAGGAGGGGAGGGGAGGGACCACCCCTGCGGCCTGGAGCAGGTAGACGACCGAGAAGCACAGCTCCAGCCAATCGCACCACCCAGGCTCCTGGCGGAGGCGGCCCGCATTGCCGCCAGCGTCCTGCCTCTCCCCTCCGGCGTCGCTCCTCCATCTCCCTCCATCCTTCCCTTCCTCCTGCCCATCCACGTCGTCCTCCTCCTCATCCTATTATTCCTACTGCTCCTCATCATCCTCCTCCTCCACCTCCTCATCATCATCATCATCTCACCACCACCACCTCCATCATAACCATCAACATCATCATCAACATCATCATCATCATCATCACCATCATCATCATCATCATCATCAGCATCATCATCATCATCATCATCATCAGCATCATCAT